CCCAGGAGTTTGAGGTTGCTGTGAGCTAGGCTGACGCCATGGCACTCTAGCCCGGGCAACAGAGCCAGACTCTGTCTCAAAAAAAAAAAAAGATTTATGTTGAAACAATGGCAGTTTTCAGAGACTTACTTTAGCCAAGGACATAGAGAACAAGCAAAAGATTGTTTCTGCTCTAGCAGAAAGTGGCACGTATGTACAGAAACAGATGAAGGCTGAGGGAGAAGCAGAGACATTGAGGAAGGCTCTTTGGAAACATCAAATCACAAGGTAACAGCAACCCACTGCTGGAGGAATTTGAAGCCTTTGCTGGTGTACAACAAAACCTAAATCCAGCCCAAATCATGACTATAATGGAAACTAATATACTACTACTCAATAAAAAATTTTAAGACACACAAAAAGTGGGGAAAAAACCCCACTGTTAAGAAATAAAGTTATCTAGAATATACAAAGAAATCTTTTAGGCCAGGTATGATGGCTCATACCTGTAATCCTAGCACTCTGGGAGGCCGATGCTGGAGGATCACTTGAGGCCAGGAGTTTGAGACCAGCCTGAGCAAGAGCGAGGCCCCATCTCTATACAAACTATGAAAATTAGCTGGAATGGTGGCACTCACCTGTAGTACAGCTAAAATAATCAGGAGAGCCAGACTCTCAGATAAGCCAAATGTTTGATCAGAGAGGAACTTCAAAATAACTATGATTAATATGTTTATGCTAAAGGATCTAGTGAAAAAGATGGACAACATCCTTGAACAGATAGAAAATTCAGCAGCAAGATGAAACTACAAAAACAATTCAAATAGAAATACAAGAAATACCAGCCTGCGCAAGAGTGAGACCCCATCTCTACTAAAAATAACTAGCTGGGTGTGGTGGCGCATGCCTGTAGTCCCAGGTACTCGGGAGGATGAGGCAGGAGGATCACTTGAGCCCAGGAGTTTGAGGTTGCTGTGAGCTAGGCTGATGTCACAGCATTCTAGCCTGGGCAATAGAACAAGACTGTGTCTCAGAAAACAAAACAAAAGCAATACAAGAAAAAAAAATCAGAGATTAAAAATTCCTTCAACAGGCTTATCATCAGACTGGGCACATCCAAGGATAAAATCAGTGAACTTGAAGATAGATCAGCAGAAATTACCAAACTGAAATACAAAAAGAAAGAAGAATGGTAGAAAACATTAGAATAGAACACTCAAGACCTATGGGACATTATCAAATGGTCTAACATACATGTAACTGGAGATCCAAAAGGCAAAGAGGGAGAGACAGGGCAAAAGAAACATATGAAGAGTTATTTTCCAAAATCAGTAGAAGAGGATCCGGGAACACCAACATCCCAATAGCAAAGAGGCATATTAGTGCCCAGATCCACTAAAAGGAGCAAAGGCTCCTTGGAGGAATAGCTAATTCCAAGACTAGGGCATGGAATATACAGGATGAGCTTAGATCATCTTGTATTAAGTGTAAGGAAATGATCAAAGAATGAAAGAAACATATCAAAAGACAAAGAAGCCACAGAAACCACACTGAAGGGGCTCCCCTTGGCCAAACTGCAGGCAATATAAGCATCAAAACAATGATAGTAATGGATTATAACCTATTAAATAAAATAGGAAATGATTCCATACAAATAAAAACAAATGAATGAATAAATCAGAAGTCTGATGAAGAATGCGATATTTATAGTTTCATAGTACTACCTCACAAAAAATGTATTAATTACAAAGGGGGGAAATAACTTTTACAGGGAAAAAGCCTTACAGAAACCACCTCAATCAAGGGGTCAAAGTAAACATTATCAGTTATGGGACAAACTGAAATCATGCACCACCTGATAGAATTCAACAAGGAAAATGCAGCATCACTTCTCTGTATTTCTACCATAGACTCATAGCCTGAAACATCAGATAAATCTAAACTGAGGACAGTCCACAAAATAATTCATTTGTAATCTTCAAAAGTGTCAAGTAGAAAATCAAAGACTGAGAAAATGTTCCAGACTAATAGAGATTAAAGAGATATGACACTTAAATGTGACACATTAAGTATGGACTGTATTCTTTTGTTATAAAAAGTACTATTGGGACAATTAGTGAAATTTGAATGGAGTCTGAAGATTAGATGGTAGTAATGAATCAATGTTAATTTTGTAATTTTGATGGTGATACTGTTGTATAGAAGAATGTCCTTGTTTGTAGAAAATGCATACTAAAGTATTTGGGAGTTGCTATGGTCCGAATATATGTGGTTTCCCCCATCTTTCCCACCCCAGCCTGCCAAATTCATATGTTGAAATCTAACCCCCAAGGTAATGGTATTAAGCTGTGATTAGGGAGGTAAATGGAAAGTGATTAGGTCCCAAGAGCTCTGCCCTCATGAACGGGATTAGTATTCTTACAAAAGGGACTTGAGGAAGCCTGCTTGCCCCTTCGGCCATGTGAAGAAGGCATCATCTATAAGGAACAGGCCCTCACCAGGCACTGAATCTGCTGGTGTCTTGATTGTGGACTTCCCAGCCTCCAGAACTGTGAACAATAAATTTCTACTGTTTGTAAATTATCCAGTCTAAGGTATTTTGTTATAGCAGCCCAAATGGACTTAGACAAGGGTGAAGGAGTATTAGGTTGGCAACTTAACTCTCAAATGGCTCAGGAAAAAAAAGTTATCTGTACTGTACTTGTAATTTTTCTGTAAATCTGTGTTTATTTCAAAATTTAAAAACTTATTTAAAAAAATTTAAAGCCATTTATTTGATCCTGACTTACTGTTACTTCAATATAAAAGACAGAAACAGGATTCTTTTAAAAAGGTAGTATACCACACTACTGCTTTGATCAAGGGTGATTTTAACAAGAATAAAGCTTTGGTTAAAAAGCTTGATTTAAGATTTCCTGACAGCGGTTAACTTTGGGTACTGGTAATTTTCGTTTTTAAAGATTTGTATTTTCTACTATTTCTACATTAAATAAAAATTCTAATTAAAATACATTCTAATTTTTAAAAAATACTTGCAAACAACTTTACAGATTTAGGCTAACCCACACAAGTAATTTGTCCAAGGCCACATAGTCAGTTAACAGCAGAACTACTCATATGTCTTAATTTCTAGCCCACACTATCTTTCAATATCTGATCCCATTTTTTTCCCTCTCATTTTATTTCTCACCTTAAAGAATTTCTGAATTCCTACAACCAGGATTCCTGAATTTGTCAAACAAAGAATGATCTTGAGACTTACCTATAAAGCCATATAAATTAAGCAGGAAAGAAAAGTAACTGGAATCAAGAATATAAGAACTGTGAGTCTGTTGGCTATTAGGGCTCAAACAGGAGGTGGAAGACAGCACTTAGAAGCTGGTTTAACCTGACTTCAAATCATTATCATCTAGAAGGAGTAGCAATGGAATCAGGTTAGAACTATGGAAATACACCTAAAATATATAAGCAGATCTATGTCTATTAGAAACATGGACATTAACTATGATAGTTATTTTGGGAGCATGGGATTATAGGAGACTTCATGTTTCTACGTTATATATTGTGGTAATGTTTGAATATTATAAAATGAACGTAAACCAGTTTTACACTCAGAAAAATAAGGTAGAGATTAAAAACGAAGCAAAATTCCTTTGTAATTATTTTTTCAAAGGAAAAAATGTGGGGTGGAAACAACAAAATAATATTAAAATTGGTAAACTGATTGTGATTAATCCATTCAGAACAGAAAAGGAGCCCTGCAGTGTGGTAATGGTCAGTGAGTCCAGGAGTAAAAAACAAACTAGATATAATTTAGCAACACGAGACAGGACAGAAGCACTTACTATTTTAAGCCACCACACTGAAGTCTCATGTCACTGACTGAGGAAGCCCAAAAAAGGTTTCAAGAGTGTTTCTGCCTTGATTCATTAGTCTGTAGCTCCAGAAAGAGATAGCTTTTCAAATTATTATATTAATTTTGGGCAGTCAAGGTGCTCTTTTCCTCTTTCCTCATATAACCCAGAAAAGTCTCACAGCGAAGATGCTAACAGTAGCCATCAGTATCTTGAGGAATCTCAAATGTTCTTAATCAGGAATGTGACCATATAAGTGTTGTGCTTCAGGACAGACAATCTTTTGAAAAGTGATCTACCCATACAAATGACCAGATCTTATGAATCCCATAAAAGACTCCAGACTATTTCTTAATATACCAATTTTCCTGTAGTGATCTCATTATGGTTGGTAACTCAGTATCTATTACACCTTTGATGATGACTCAAAAGAGGTGATTTTGAAAATTGTCGGGGTATTTTCGTTTGTCACAATAACTGGAAAGGAAGTGCTACTGGCATTTAGTGGGCAGGACCAGGGATCTGGACATTTTTAAAGTGCAAGATAGTCTCCTACAACAAAAAATTGTGTCATATCTGATATAATTTTCAAACGTCCCAGTAAAAATTCACATGGGTAAAAAAATGTATGTATAATTATCTGAGTTTGGAACCTAACTCTAATTTACATACTTACAGAAAGTATTTTTGTAGTTTTAATATACAGCAGTTTTTCCAGGAGTGTAACAACTATGTAAATCAAGAGAAATTGCACATATTTTATTGTTCAGAAATCTACAAAAAGTTGTTTACTATTTCAGACCATCATAATTTGGCAATGCTGCTCTGATACTCTGGAATCAATAAAACATTTATATCTGCATTTTTTTTTTTTGAGACAGGATGGATCTTGTTCTGTTGCCTGGGCATGAAAGCAGTGGTGTTATCATAGTTCACTGCAACCTCAAGTGATCCTCCTGCCTCAGCCTCCCAAGTAGCTGGGACTACAGGTGTGTGCCAATACGTCAGGCTAATTTTTCTATTTTTTGTAGAGATGAAGTCTCGCTATGTTGCTCAGGCTGGTCTTGAACTCCTGACCTCAAGCAATCCTCCCACCTCGGCCTCCCAAAGTGCTAGGATTACAGGTGTAAGCCACTGCGCCCAGCCTCTATTGGCATTTGTAGCACTCTCATTCAAGTAATGCTATGAATAAATACAAATATTTGACTATTCTAGTATATGCTGGAGCATTTACATATTGAAATACACATTATACTTTCTTTTTATTTTGCCTTCACATTTCAGTTAAGATTTTGTTGATTTTATAAAAATTGTATGTAGCTAGATATGTTATATTTGAATTGCATTTCAGAATAATTCAGAGACGCTGCAAATTTTTTTTTTATAGAAAGGGAATAAGGATGGGAATCACTGGTTTAAGGCAATCATGGTAATTCCAGCCCTCTTGCCAGGACTGGCGGAGCACAGGCATGTGATTCAGTTCTGCGCAATGAGACACAATGGAGTATCCTGGAAGACTTCTGGGAAAGGTTTCCTTGCTCTTGAGAGAGAGGAAGAAATGGTCCTTCTTCCTTTTCCTGTCAGTTTGTGATGACTAGAATAGCTGTAACCTTCTTGCTATCATCTTGAGGGTGAAGTAAGCACACTGAGGAGGCAGATCTAAGTGAATCACAGAGAGGTGAAATTGGAACCCTGGGATCCTACATCTGAAGTCTACCTTCCTTTTGGATTTTTAGCTACATTAGGTAATAAATTCCTGTAAGTCAGGTAGAATCAGGTTTTCTCTTATTTGCCGCTGAAAGCAGCCTAACACATAAGGTTGCCTTGCTTGTAGAAATGACACTGGAAGGGAAGAGAAGGGGAAGCAGTATAGTATAATAGTGGAAGCACGAGCTTGCTTATCTTGATTTAATAGCCCCCACCCCCACCCCACAGTTTCACAGTCTGTCGTTTCAGTTATCCAGTCAACCAAGGTCTAAAAATAAGTGAGCACAGTACGATAAGATATTTTGAGAGAGAGAGACAAGATTCACATAACTTTTATTAGTCTTTGTTATAATTGTCCTATTTTATTATTAGTTATTATTATTAATCTCATACCGTACCTAATTTATACTTATCTCTTGGTATCCATGGTGGATTGTTCCAGGACTCCCTTGGATACCAAAATCCAAGGATGCCCAAGTTCCTCGTATAAAATGGCAGAGTATTTGCATATAATCTACACACATCCTCCCATATACTTTAAACCATCTCTAAATTACTTATATTACCTAATACAATGTAGATATTATATAAATAGTTGTTATACTATATTTTTTAATCTGCATTTTTTATTGTTGTATTTTTTTTTCTGATTATTTTCAATCTGTAGTTGGTTGAATCCTTTGATGCAGAACCTGCAGATATGGAGGGACGACTATAAATTAGACTTTATCACAAGTATGTACATATAGGAAAAAACACAGTATATATAGGGTTTGGTACTATCTGAGGTTTCAGGCATCCACTCGGGGTCTTGAACTTATCCCCCACGGATAACGGGGGAAGTACCATATATTGAAGTTCAAATCTTGATTCTGTAATTTACTAGTTGTATAACCTTAAACAAATTTCTTAAGCCCTTTGAGCTTCCTCATTTACAAAACGGAAACAGGAATACCTGCTTTACATGGCCATTATGAGGATTAGCGAACTAATATTTGTTAAGCTCTTAACTTGGTGCTTAGTATGTTATAAGTATTCAGTAGCTGGTGGCTATTATTTACTATAGTCATTAAGAGCAGAGAGGAAAAGTACTCACAGCAGTCTGAGCAGTGATGTGCGTACAACCCACAATTTTGGCTCCAGCCAAAGGCTTTTCTCCTTGAGCTCTCTTCCTCAAAGCCATCAGTGCAGGCATTTCTGAAAAGGCCCAATACACATACAGCAATATTATAGAGGACAAATAAGAGATAAAAGAATAAACAGAAAAACTTATTCTCTTAAGTTATGATCCTCCCTGCTCCCATCAGGTTAGATTAGGTTTCTCAGGGGATCAAGACTTCCAACCTGAATTTTCTTTTATGAGGGCTTTAGAGGCAAATGCTCCAGGGTTCTGATTCCCTATATTCAGTCCTCCTTATCTAATCTCTCTCTCTTTTCGTTGTACAGGAGTTCCTTCTAGACTTGCCATAGTTTACTCTCTCCCCACAGTGTTTTCATGAGTTCACATTTCTTTCATTGTAAGTATTCTTCAATATTATACAGAAATTTCACAAGCTACCAGACCCCAGGATGTATAATAAAAAGGGATTAACATAGGCAAAAAGACATAGGCAGGTTGAGAAGGAAAAGGTACTTGCTTTCTTTACCTTGTTCAGCAATCTCAATTTCTCTTCGTCCAAACTCTGCCTGTTTGATGTTCTTGACACAGAAGTCACTGCTTCCCTTAGAGTTCTTTTGCTGCTTGTCCCTGGGGGATGTCTCATCATCAGAGCTATCTGTATATGAAGCCGCTGGAATGACAGAATAAAAAAACCCTGGGAAAAAATGGCTTCCTCTAAAATTCCAAACTATGGAGTGAACTGAAGCTTCTCTAGCCATCTAGAACCATACAGATTTACACCTCGGGTAAGCACATAAATGGTACCATGGAGCTGTCTCAATCATCTTTTATGGAAAGTGCTGTCTACAGGTCAGAAAAGGGAAGCTGAGAGAGGCTGCCAAAGACATTCTCCCTGGATAGCATTAACTTGAAACATAGGACTAACTTTATCTTCAGAACATGCAGAAGTCCTTGAATATGCAAAAGAGAGGTTACAGCATGGTAGCAATAGGTGAAAGTTCCTAATGCAGGATCGTGGTCATTAACCTATGGATTTCTGAGATTCCCAGCTCCCTTTCTCTGTCTGCTTATTAAATGTCTAATGTAATTTGTGTTTTAGTACAATAACTGAACAGATAAAACCTAGAAAACAAGGAACCTGTGGGAAAGTAATTAAGAACCACACAAAAAGTGTTTGTCTGACATAACAGAGCTTTCTTTTTAAGACTGGCTCCGATGAAGCTGAACTATGCCTGCAGGCCCAATTAGACATGGACAAAATGAAATACTTAATGTGCTCTCCCTTCTTGCTGGCCTCAGTGGGTCCTGTGTTAGGCATTTTAGATTCCCAAAGAAGTGAATAAATCCTCTTTGGGTACAGTAAAATGCTCTCATAACTAATCCATTTAGCAATATACACTAGAGGGTGAAAGGTCTAAAATCTTTGTGGCTAACAGGCAGCTGCTGCTACTGCTATTCACATGCTTAGCTGAAATCTTTTTAGTCTTCATACAATTCTGTAGTTGCTAATCATTTGCTAGATGATTTGAAGCAATTTCCTTCCTTGATTTATGTTTCAGTTTCTGAAGATAGTTATTCCTAATCCCCACAGTTTTTTTGGGGGGGGTGGTGGTGGTGGAAGATATAAAGCACTGCCTATAAAGCATTTTCTATTTCTCAATGGAACAAGAAGTACTGCCATAGCTTTTAAGGGAAAAAAAAAGCTGTAAAAGTTCGGAGTATCTAGGGTCTATGGTGCTCTGATCTACTTATATCCAGAGAATTAAGGCATTTCTGGGATTTCTTAGCAAAGGGTCTATCTCTGGGAGGGCTGTAAAAGGCAAGTCTGACCTTGCCCAGTTAATCAGGTATGGCACTACAAACTGTTTGGGCAGCAGGGGCTTGAGAAGCTCTCTTGGAACTGGAAAACTGCCCTAGAGCAAAGTCCTAACACGAGGCAACAGGAATGAACATGGGCACCAGGGGAGGTGAGGGAATTAGTAAATATCCCCAAAGAGACTTTTGTTCTTGAAAGGAGCTAATCTGTACAAAAAGTTTGTGGCTCCCCCTCCTAGGGTGAGAGCTCAAAGTACTTTTGGCAACAGAACCCAGGAACAGCTTTCTGGGCAGTCATCTGTTTCACCAATCAATATTCAGAAACAGCTTATGAGTTAGATGCTTAGGGTATCCATGCTTCTATCACCTGAGAGACAAAGAGATAATAGCCATCCCTAATCCTGATCCAAATTTACAGGAAAAATTGTTTTTCAAAAAAGCTTTTACATTCAGAATATCCTGAAATTTCAAATCCTTTTCCAGAGCCATGATGATTTTTATGCTCTCCAATGGCCATTTAAATATAGTGGTCATGTGTTTTAGAGTCGGACTTCGGTTGAAGTCTCAGTCTCTGCATGTATGAAGTGGAGATGATACCAGAATCTATTTAATAGGGTTGTTAATTTATTCATGTATTCAGTCATTCACACATTCAATTGTTCATTCAAATTTTAATCATGCACCTACTATGTACCAGCCATAGTTTAGGTACCGGGAATACAGGACAGATGTGGTCCTTACCTTAATGGATTTTTCAGTCTAGTAGGTAAGCTAGAAATGAAATAACTAATTACAAAATTAATTAGGATTTTCTTCAATACCGTTGTAATGTGTGCTATGAAACAGAAATCAAGATGCCATAAGACTACATAATAGGAGGACATGACTTGTCAGAGTCAAGTTGTTGAGAAGATTAAGATAATGGAAGTAAAGTGTTTAGTGCAATGCTTGGCATATAGTAATTGAGCACTCAATAAGTAATACCTGTTATTATCCACTTTTGCACATATTTTAAATTCACCACCAGATATAACATCTTTAAAGGTTCTTTCTCAGCTTTAGGATTTTGAATGGGAAAGGAGTGACCTACATACATTATTATTTTGCAGTTTCTTTTTTTTTATACCTCTGTCATCTCCGACTAATCTACCAAAGCAGCAGAGGTGGTTGTCTGGAAGTGATTAAAAAGGTTGAGACTAGAGTCCTAATTCTACCCATAATAGCTCTTCCCTCCTATGCCTCTTCAGCTTCTAAGGATGAGTCAGGAAAAAAAAAAACAAACAAACAAACAGAAAAACCAAAATAAAATTTCCCCTTAAGAGAAGCATTCCAACTTTTGGCTTTTTTTTTCCCAACTCAAAGAAAAAAATTGTTTATACCACTTCCTTATTCTAAAAGCTAGAGAAAACTGTATTTCACTTTCTTAACAGTAGTCAACTGGTTATAGTTAATTCAACCAATGTTTTTCTTTGAGCCGAAATGTATTTGTTTTCAAAGAATCCTGTATACAGACCTGCTATCAGGTAAGAACCAAAAGTATCACTTGTCTAGATTGTACTAATATGTGGATCGACATGGCTGATAGACCCAGACCAAGAGATTGTGTTATTTCTGCAAACACAGTGGAAAGACTATTCCTGAACTAATGTGACATTTATTCATTTATTTTTTTTAATCCATACTCATTACTACCACTATATTTAAAGTAGCAAATTCATGAAAACAGTTGAGATAGCATTAAGGACTTTTCCAAGAAAATTTAGAAAAACCCAACACATATGTACACAACTGCTAGAATAGAGTTTCTAAAGTGTTTATAATTGTCAGCATACTCTGAAGCCCAGAATCATAATTTAATTAAAAATGAACAGTCAATAATCTACTAAAGTACAGATCTGAGACCCTAGATCTAGCTTCACCCCTAATTGGGTGACTAATTTTCAATTCATCCAACTGTAAAACAGGGAATGTAACAGATCCCCTCTTTCCCTATGCTCTTCCTTTACCCTAACTACCGCCAGAAAAATCTTATGAATAAATGAGACAATACCAAAAAAGGGTTCAGTTTCTAGGTAGAAAAGTAATATGAAGTACAATGTAACTTTACTGTGGAATGTTCTCTTGTTTCATGATTTCCCAGAATCAAAATATAACTAGATGAATCACTAATACACAATGTAGCCCATAGAACATGCATACATATGGTCTATGGCTCAATCCTGATTAAGTCTTACCTCCCAGCAGCTGTGATATTGTGGGTTATTGCTAGGAGAAGAAGCGGTCAGAATCCTGGCCAAATTAGTTCTATTACACTATTTTAAGTCAGGCAACTCCTCTTGGGCCCAACCTATTCATTTGGTAATGGAATAACAGTAGGGACCTGTGTGTCAGTGTGCAGCAGACTTCACTGATGAATGACACTCTAGAAATATGTAAAAAGCTATGTCAGCATCCAAAAAAATACAAACAGACAAAACTTTGTTATTTGAAAGAATCTGAAAATACTTCAAACTGTTTAAGAACCAATTATGAATAAGAGACTTCTGTCCTCCCACCTCATCCTTAGCCAATTAACTCACTATAATGACAGCTTTTTCAGAAATGTATCACTGAGAATAGTCTGACTTTGGAAAAAGGTCTCTTTTGTTCATTTGTTTTTATGAGTTTTGTTTGCTAGGGAATGAGTTTTTAGAAGTTTGCTTGTTTTATTGAGATAGGGTCTCGCTCTGTCACCCAGGCTGGAGTGCAGTGGCGTGGTCACAGCTCATTGCAACCTCGAACTCCTGGGCTCAAGTGATCTCCCTGTCTCAGCCTCCCAAGTAGCTCAGACTACAGGCATGCGCCACCATGTTCAGCTAATTTTTTAGAAGTTTTTGTAGAGATGGAGTTTCTCTATGTTGCCCATGCTGGTCTCGAACTCCTGGGCTCAAGTGATCCTCACACCTTGGTCTCCCAAAGCATTGGGATTATAGGCACGAGCCGTCGTACCCTGCCATTTGTTTCTTACCAAATAATTTCATGGATTATTGCAGCATTTTTCAACCTAGGTTCTGCTAGAATTAAGCTCTAATGCCTTGAAGCATTCATTCATTGTATATGAATAATGAACTTCTCTCCATGAATGGTACTACTAGTT